CAAGGGTGATGGCGGCCAGTAACCTTCTCACACCACCACAGTATGAAGTGGTGGTGGTTGTGGTGTCGGCAGTAGTGTCGGTGGTAGTGTCGGTGTTACTCTCAGTCAAGAGCGGCCTCTCATTGTGTTCCTGGTCAGTCATCATCGTACTCACATGTAACAACACTGCACAAATACTATCTCTTCACCACATTCGCTCTTCAAAGTTATCTACACACTTGTTTACTATGACTTGCAAAATTATACTCGTGCAACTCCATCAAGCACTTGAAGACCAGATCAATTTCTGCAAATCAAAAAGGAAAGGATACCAAAAGTTTGAAATCTTTTCATACTAGACACTTGATAAATAACTTTACAGATCACGATATTCCACATATAATATATGTGACAATACTGGAGTCCACATACGGTGAAGAAGGCGGCGTAAGTGCAACGTACTCAGCCTGGACCAGCCACACATGACACTGTGGCTTGCTGGTGTTACTCAATAGCCGGAGGCAAGTGTAGTGGTGTAGGGTGCAGCCGCAAGGCGGGGTGAGGTGCCTGCTGCAAGACGGGGTGAGGTGCCTGCCGTCGCAATATGAGTGTCTGCTGAGTTAATACTGCATATTTCCCAAATTAAACGTATCTGACAGTTATATTTTACACTTGGCTGTCAGTATTATTTTACACGTAGCTGTCAGTTATATTTTACACGTAGCTGTCAGTTATATCGGGCAGTTTAAGGATCTGTTGTCAGTTATTTCGGGCAGTTTAAGGATCTGTTGTCAGTTATTTCGGGCAGTTTAAGGACCTGCCCGAAATGCTATGCGTGTTTGTGGCTTAGCTAGAGTGTAAAAAGAACACCAATCTTATGTACTCTCACAACCCCGTGCATCTTGTATATAAATAAGTAAAATAAAAATAAAATATTTTACACGTAGCTGTCAGTGTTTTTTAAAACTTAGCCGTCTTTGTTTTAATAGGTTCTTATATGGGTTATAGCCAATATATGAATATTTATATATTCATACTTATCTCGAGAACCCATCAAAAAAGGTATGCAGCCGCATATGTAAGAATTGTAATGGCTTATGATGTTTCTTGGGTTTTCTTTATCAAGATTATGTGATATTTTATATCACATAATTTTTTTATATAATTTGGCAGTGCATAATCTTTAGCACTGCCAAATTATATGAGCAATGCTATATGATATATATATATATATATATATATATATATATATATATATATATATATATATATATATATATATATATATATATATATATATATATATATATATCAATCTTTGGACAACACCAGTGGGCCTCGAACCCAGAAAGCACAACTATCTTCCAGTAGCTGCCATAACTAGTATGTCTTAACGTACTAGTACGTTAAGGCGTACTAGTACGCCTAGTGTAGTACACACTAGGCGTAGTAGTGGTAGTACACACTGTGGTAGTACGCCTAGTGTGTTCAAAATCGCTAATCTCCGAAAGTTCTTCACCGATCGCTTTGAAATTTTGACACAACGTTCCATTCGCATCCGAGCGTGTTTTTATATACATACTACATAGATGTCTTGTCTGTGACGGGAAAAAACATGCTTGTTTTTTTAAACTGTGTTTTTCAGGTGAGGGGAAATCTTCGAAACCTCTTGACCGATTGCTTTGAAATTTTGATACAACGTTGCCTTCGAATAGGCGCGTGTTTTTATATACCTTCTATATACCTGCCTCACCAGTGACAGGAAAAAAACATGTTTTTTTGAAAAACAGCGCCATCTATTGGACGTAAGAGCAACACACGCTGTAGTCTTCAAAACCTCTTTACCGATTGCTTTGAAATTTTGATACAATATTCCATTTGAATACGCGCATCTTTTTAAATACCTACTATATAGATGCCACACCTGTGACAGGTAAAAACATGTTTTCTTTTTTAAAAACAGAGCCATCTGTTACACATAATAGCAACACATGCTATATTAAATACGTTAAGATTCCATTTCAGTGTTTCCGATTGCATTGATAAATTGAATTTTCATAGATTTCGATTTATTTTCATTTTGATTTAATTATTTTGTGTGACATTGCATTGGAATTGAGCTGTGTTGCTTACCATACTCTTCATTTCAAGAGTATAGTTAATTTATTTATTTTTTCATTTTTTTTCATTTGTTTTTTTTAACTGTTGTTCCCATCACTGAAAAATAAGAAGATCAGATCATTTGATGTTCCTATTTTTCTGATGGAAACATCAGATCATTTGGGAACGCATCGGACAAGGGAGTGAGAAATGGAGGGGAGGACGAGGGGACAGAAGAGGGGAATGGTGGGGAGGACGAGGGGACGGGCGAGTAGGGAGGACGAGGGGACGGGGGAGTAGGGGAGGATGAGGGGACGAGGGAGGGGGGATTCGTGGGGAGGATGAGAGGACGGGGGAGTGAGGAATGGTTGGAAGGACGAGGGGACGGGGGAGGGGGAAATGGTGGGGAGGACAGGGGAGGGTTGCTGTGGCTCAGCAATGCACATGCATTTCTGAGCCACAGCAATGCGTGGCCGGGTACAGCTAGTATATAATATATATAAATGTTTGTTCAAAATCGCTAATCTCCGAAAGTTTTTCACCGATTACCTTGAAATTTTGGCACAACGTTCCACTCGCATGTTTTTATATTCATACTATATAGATGTCACGCTTGTGACGGGTATAAACATGTTTTTTTGAAAGACTGTGTTTTTCACGTGAGGAAAATCTCCGAAGCCTCTTTACCGATTGCTTTGAAATTTTTACACAACGTTGCATTCAAATACACGCGTTTTTATGTACCTACTTTATAGATGCCACACTTGTGACAGGAAAAACTTGCATTTTTTGTAAAACAGCACCATCTGTTGTACGTACGAGCAACCCCACGCTGTAATCTCCTAAAGTTCTTCACCAATTGCTTTGAAATTTTGACACAATGTTCCATTTGAATTCGCACGTGCTTTTCTATGCCTACTATATAGATACCATGCCTGTGACAGGGAAAAACAGTTTTTTTTTTTTTTAACAGCGCCATCTGTTGCACGTTAAAGCAACACACTTTACTGAATGTTACGATTCCCTTTCAGTGTTTCCAATTGCATTGATAAATTAAATTTTCATAGATTTCGATTTATTTTCATTTTGATTTAATTACTTTGTGTGACACTGTGTTGGAATTGAGCTGTGTTGTTTACCATACTGATCATTTCGTGAGTATAGTTTATTTTTTTATTTTTTCGTTATTTTTTATTTCGTTTTTTTAACTTCTTATTTTTCAGTGATATGAACATCGGATTATTTGATGTTCCCATTCTTCTGATGGGAGAATCAGAACATTTGGGAACGCATCGGACGAGAGTGTGGGGAATGGTGGGGAAGACGAGGGGCCAGTAGTGTGAGATGGTGGGGAGGACAAGGGGACGATTGAGTGGAGAATCGTTGGGAGGACAAGGGGAAGAGAGGAATGGGCGGTGGTGGGGAGGAAAAGTGAACAGGGGTTGGGGTAATGATGGGGAGGAAGAGGAGATGGGGGAGAGGGGACAGGGGAGGGTTGCTGTGACTCAGCAATGCGTGGCCGGATACAGCTAATATATATGTGTGTGTGTGTGTGTATATATATATATATATATATATATATATATATATATATATATATATATATATATATATATATATATATATATATATGCAGAATAACCACATGTGAAAAATAGAAAATGCTTAACGCGTTTTCGGCTAATTCGCCTTCATCAGAGCAAAGTAGAATCTACTTTGATTCTACTTTGCTCTGATGAAGGCGAATTAGCTGAAAACGCGTTAATCATTTTCTGTTTTTTCACATGTAGTTATTCTGCATACTTGGATCAGTGTTTTTGTGATCATTGTTGCATATATATATATATATATATATATATATATATATATATATATATATATATATATATATATATATATATATATATATATATATATATAAATGTCGTACCTAGTAGCCAGAACTCACTTCTCAGCCTACTATTCAAGGCCCGATTTGCCTAATAAGCCAAGTTTTCCTGAATTAATATATTTACTATAATTTTTTTCTTATGAAATGATAAAGCAACCCTTTTCTATATGTATGAGGTCAATTTTTTTTTATTGGAGTTAAAATTAACGTAGATATATGACCGAACCTAACCAACCCTACCTAACCTAACCTAACCTATATTTATAGGTAAGGTTAGGTTAGGTAGCCAAAAAAAGCTAGGTTAGGTTAGGTTAGGTAGGTTAGGTAGACGAAAAAACATTAATTCATGAAAACTTGGCTTATTAGGCAAATCGGGCCTTGAATAGTAGGCTGAGAAGTGCGTTCTGGCTATTAGGTACGACATATATATATATATATATATATATATAAATATATATATATATATATATATATATATATATATATATATATATATATATATATATATATATATATATATATATATATATATATATTATTTTACCTGAAAGCCACTAATACTAGTGGCCACGATGAGGACAGGAAGCCAGTGGTTTCTCAAGTCTCCCCATTTGCCCTGATGTTTTCCAGATGTATTTTAAGAATTATAAAATCCAGCAGAGTTTTGACGTTTACGGCTTCAGCGGGTAGGCGGCTCTTTTCAAGTTTAAGTTATTTTCAAGTTCCTGTTGGTATATTTTCCAGTTGGCCACTTTAGATAGCATTCAGGGAGCTAATACAAGGCAGAGAACACAAAAAAAGACGAACGACGTTTAAAGTATGATATCCATTGAGGATGTCATGGCCTGAACATGACTCAGAAGACCCTTGGTATTCAAGATCATCCTGAGACACTGTGGGCAGCTGGCACTTGTAACTTGTCCACCTCTGGATTCTTTCTACAAGATTTATATATGGTAATAATTAAAACATACATATTAAGGGTTCAGTGAAATGCAATACTTTTCATACAATACAATCAAAAGCAACAAAATAGTAATACTGTTTATTGTCAACAAAAACCTTGCTTGTTTCAGTTTAGAAATAATAGTTATAATGAAACGACGTCAGCTCAAGACATATTTCTTCATGAGATAAATTTACACGTTTACAAAACGTGTTATAGATTGTATTCCTCTCCACTCAGGGCAAGTATGATGCCTTCATCATATCAGTTTCATCTCTTCTCTGAACGTCAACAACTAATCCAAACGAGGAAAGTAGTACGAAGTTCGATGGTCAGAGGTCACGCGCACTTTAGTGTCAACTTACGACATAACTATCTCTTATTCTACCATGGCGGCTTAATCGGTATTCACTTAACAGTTTATGAGCTCTGATGACCTACGAGGGCGTCCTCACCACACTACCTTGATTATCACACCAAGTCAGTCATCAATACTGCTGGACACCACCTCCCGGCGAGTACTGGAGCTTGAGGTCATCATCCACCTGTGGGTCACACACAAGAGGTGTAGTTGTCAATAACAACGTATAAGTATGTTATGAAACATGCATAATGTGTGAAGGTTATGAAATATAGGATAAAGCCTCGATAGATATAATTATAGTGGTGGTGTGAGTGCTGCACAGAGCAGCACTAACACTCCTGCACCAGCCGGTCAAAGCCTTACACATATAAGGCGGCGATGATGACGCTGACGCCGGCGGCCAGGACGAGCACAGTTCCCGGGAAGATGTCGAGAGTGGCATTATAGATGGGCGTCATCATGGCTGAAGACACGATGGGGATTACCGCCTCGCCAGCACCCGAGAGAGCGAAGACGGCTCCCAACTCGTCCTTGTTGACCAGCTTGGAAATGGCTGCCCTGGAGCACACCACCACCATGCCGGAACACACGCCCATCACCGACGCTGTTACCATGAAACAGTAGAAACAGCCTAAGCTACTCTCTCCCTTTGAGATGTATTTTATTATTTCAACTTGATCCATGAAACACATTGACCTGGATGAATTATGGTAGTGTCCTGTTATATTAATTACTTTTTGATAGTTAAAATGTGTCTAGAGTACTGATTCTTATACAATACAATACAATACAATTTTATTTAGGTAATCTCATTAGGTAATCTCATTTAGGTAATCAATTATCTTCATTTGAATCTTACAATTGTTTGTATCTTGTCTTAGAAATGTAAATGTAAATGTTATTCTAAAAATGAGTTAGGACTGCACATATTCAATGTTGCTTGAAATTTGTTGGATCTTTAGAACTATATTTAAATATTTCAAATAAAGAATTTCTAGTGGATGCTGCATTTAGAATAAAACTAATGAAATTCAGTCCTATAACACTTTTCCAGTACACATAACGTCTCCCGGTTTGGTATTACTGGCCAATCCGCTTCTCTTCTTCTGTCTAACATAGTTAAGATTTTTAACATAACGCTGTGAATTTTTTGTTAACTGTTATCACTGTTAATGATTACTCCGTGGACAGAACTCTGAAGCAAAAGCAAAATTTAATCAAAATCAGTTTACAATTTTTGGGGAACATTTCGTCAGAAAAAAATATAATTTTAATTCCCATTGTCGGGAAAAAGAAACCTGTGTGTAAATTTACCTGAAGGTCACTATATCTCTAATGGCCTCGACGGGGACAGTAATCACGCGAATTCCCAAAAGTTTCCCCATTGCTCCTGAGAATTGTTTCCAAATGGATTTTGAACGGGAATAACGTCTTCCCGTCGACGGCTTTGACAGGTAATCGGTTCCCTGGGTTTATAACCGCAAGGGTGAAGAAGCATCTGCTAAAGTACATGAAATGTGACTTTTTGGCAACGAATAATAGCATCCCATGTTGGAAGTGGAAAGCCTGACTTTGTAGGTCGACTGACCACTTAGATTTGCAAGAAAGAAAATACAGAATGTGTCTTTGGATTATCTAATACTATTATTACAAATAAATTATTTCAGATTTTGAATTAAGAAATGCTCAAAGCCCTGAAAGCTACAGTATTAAAAGCTATGACAACTTTTGTAAAACGAGTATCTGTATGGTCAGCACAGTAATCAGACCAGACAATATGATGTAGTCATTGCGCGAAATCGCCGTAGCGATAGGTATATCTGGCAGGTTAGTTAGCCACTAACACTATATTCAGTCTGTAAACTTTGTGACAAACCGTTAAGGCATTCACTTGAACACTACATTAAATAAATTTTTGAATTATCGCTTCCAAAAAATGTGAGCAGGTTCGTAAGGAAGGATTTTTAACAAAATCAAAATTGTGTTGATTTTACCAGCGTGAGTACATTGAAATGATGACCCATTCCTCTCGCTTAGAATTCTATCCGTGAGATTGCAGATGTGTGAGGTTAGGTTGATTGGTAGATAGTTTTCTGCTGAGCGCTTTCTGCCTTTTTTTAAGATGACGGTGTCATTTGTATATAGTCAGTCTATACTGTAAGTAGCTGTTGTTGTTTTAGATTTCGCTACTCAGAACGAAGTGTCCATGTAGCACGGACTATGGTGAGCCCGCGTGTAAGTAGCTATATAAACTTTACTTTAGGCCTTTAATGAGGTCTCCCCAAGGTCGAACACCTGACCTGCCCTAGGGTTGCATCCTGGTGAGGGTCATCCTTTGTGGACTATTTATATGTTGGCAATGTAAGTATAAGTTTTTTGTTTGAATGCAATTCAGAAATGAGTGTCAAACCCAGGCCAATGTTCTCTGTAATGTTTATAAAATATTACCTATTATGGTACATTTCGAGAAACGTGACGTTATCTCGATGTAAAAATTGAAAGCCGTGTTGGCAAGCAACGAAATACATCCGTCAACTGACCTAGGTAGAGGATCCAGGACTCCGGAGCTGTCGCTCGCAGGACAAAGTTGAAGATCATAGAGACGGCTCCAACGAAGCCGAGAAGGGAGTCCCCCACTTTCCACCGGTAACTCAACACCGGCAGGACCACCAGTGTCCCTGCGAAGATGCTTCTGTATTGACACTGTACCACCTTACGGTCAAGGGCCCCCAGTACAGTTTTTAACTGAACAGATAACTGATGTCAACCCCTAACAGCGAAGCTTTAAATGTAATAATTTCTATATACTCGTTAATGTTCGAATTGCGAAAATGTAGCCTATCGTTAAACAAAAAAAAAAATTGGACAAAAAAGTTATGGTACTTTCTATTAACTATTTAAATAAATAAAATAAATTAATAAAAATGCTGCATCTTACCTGTAGCAGCGAGGGGCGTGTCGACGAGGCTCCAGACAGAGTATGTCTGGAAGTTCCAGGAGAACTTCTTCCGAGTGTAGAGGAAGTCGTATTGGGCCGACCCTGAAGCAAGGACAACACGCTATAATACGTTGTCAGCAAGTGTCTCGGCAGAAGCCAGTGGCAAAAGATAAGAGACTTTGCTGATAAGCTTTCGCTGAAGTTAATCAGGCCCTTGAAAGTGTTAAGAAAGTTAGCATCTGGTTTTAACTTTTGTAAATTAAATTGTTAGTTACAATTATTAATGCTGTCACTAACTGGTATAAAAAAATCAACTACACATAGTTAGACCGAGTTATCTTACCAGCAGTAAACAAAAAAAGCCAGATGACTGCGATGTGACCAAAGATGTTAAGTCTCACACTCCCTTCACGTCCCCGGCAGGCTACCTGCACCGTTTTCCTCAAGCGAGCAGGACTAAGCACCTCCAGCACCTCCGACGCCCCTGGCGGAGTTGTCTCGATGCTGACACTTTCAGGTCGTTTCTTAAGTCGCAGCATCACGTACACAATTGCAACTGCACACAGGATTGACTGTGTGCCAAACACCGCCACGTAGCCACTATGTGTGAACAGCATCAGTGCTAGACCTCTGCCTAGTGTGGCAGCAATTGGCACTATCACCATAACTACAGACATACGTGTAGTTCTCATCTTTTCGTCTGAGTCAGCACTAATATAAGCTGAAACACTCATGTAGATTGCCATAACTGCCCCCGTGAGGCCAACTGGCACGAAGCATAATAAAAGGATCTCCGGTTGCAGGAACCACCAGTAGGAGTTGGCGAAGAGACCTAGAGCCATGAGGAAGTAACCCATCATAGGCACGAGGATGGGCAGGCGGCGATCGCGGAGGTCGCTCCAGGCCCCCAGCACCATAACGACCACTACGGCAGGTACGTGTTGCACTATGGCACAGTACAAGGTGTAGCGGGTCACCTGCCGGTGAACGGCGTTCTGTTCATCTGGGAATTTGCCGCTAGGCAGGTTTGTACAAATGTCTTCGCTGAAATTGAAGTGAAGGAGGCATGTCTTGTCAACCCACAAGTTCTTGACGAAGACAACATCTAAATCTAACCCAAGGACGTAAAAAAAAACAGCGGGTTCAAGGGTGATGGCGGCTAGTAACCTTCTCACACCACCACAGTATGAAGTGGTGGTGGTTGTGGTGTCGGCGGTAGTGTCGGTGGTAGTGTCGGTGTTACTCTCAGTCAAGAGCGGCCTCTCATTGTGTTCCTGGTCAGTCATCATCGTACTCACATGTAACAACGCTACACAAAGACCATATCTTCACCACCACATTCGCTCTTCAAAGTTATCTTCACACTTGTTTACCATGATTTACAAAATTATACTCGTGCAACTCCATCAAGCACTTGAAGACCAGATCAATTTCTGCAAATCAAAAAGGAAAGGATACCAAAAGTTTGAAATCTTTTCATACTAGACACTTGATAAATAACTTTACAGATCACGATATTCCACATATAATATATGTGACAATACTGGAGTCCACACACGGTGAAGAAGGCGGCGTAAGTGCAACGTACTCAGCCTGGACCAGCCACACATGACACTGTGGCTTGCTGGTGTTACTCAATAGCCGGATGCAAGTGTGTTGGTGTAGGGTGCAGCAGCAAGGCGGGGTGAGGTGCCTGCTGCAAGACGGGGTGAGGTGCCTGCCCTCGCAATATTAGTGTCTGCTGAGTTAATGCTGCTCATTTCCCAAATTAAACGTATCTGACAATTGTATTTTACACTTGGCTGTTAATATTATTTATCATGTAGCTGTCAATTATATCGAGCAGTTTAAGGATCTGTTGTCAGTTATTTCGGACAGTTTAAGGACCTGCCTGAAACACTATGCGTGTTTGTTGTTTGGAAAGTGTAAAAAGATAAATAAAATAAAAATAAAATATTTTACACGTAGCTCTGTGTTATTTTACATTTAACCGTCAGTATTTTAATAGGTTCTTACATTGATTATGGGCAATATATGAATATGTACATATTCGTAATTACCACGAGAACCCATCAAAAAAGGTATGCATACGCATCTGCAAGAATTGTAATGGCTTAGATGTTGCGTTTTGGGTTTTCTTTGGCAAGATTGTGATATATTTTATTCTACTGCATTGCTTATGTTCACTGCTCATCTTATGTTCATTATTTCTCAGGGCATAGATACAATGTGAAAAAATAATTTTTTTCCTCTATGTATTTAAGAGCTCTTCGGGTTGTTAGTCCAGAATTCTTAGATGAAGAATTTAAGAATATTGATTTTATTGGTCTCAAGCTTTGTTATCCACAAAGTTGTTTTTTTGTTAGTTTGCCGTAGCAAAGCACGTCGTACATATGATAATAATATATGCAGTGAAAAAAATTCTCCCAAAGAATGTGTTGTTTACCATATTTCTCTGGGTTTGAAAATATGGTCAAGGCCTTGAAACTTTTTGATATATATGTATTGTTTATCTACGAAAATACTGTTGGTAAACTATTAGTTAGAAACAGCCCTCGTAGTGATAATTGTGTCATTTATGTAATATTGGATTTGCTCGTTGGCCGCCAGGGGGTCAAGACACGCTCCCTTGACCTGCCAGTTGCTACCTAGAGTTGTGAGGGGGCGGGTGCGGTTTGGCGTGTCGGTGCCATGGGGGATCCCCCTTCCCCCTGTTTTGCGTGCCCAGTCCATAGGCCTCGAGTTTTCTGCTCGGGCGGGTTATCCCGAGGTGGGTTTGGTGCTGTGGCTATTCCTTTCTCTCCCCCCCTCCCCCAGCCATTGCTGGGGCTTCTAATTCTTCTGCTCTCTTGATTCGTGCTGATGTTCCCTTTGTTCCTTTACTTTTTCCTTCGCCTCTCCATTGTTCTGCTGCTCGTATCTTTGTGGGGAAATGGTACACAGTTTGTTCCATTTATCTCCCCCCGAGTGTCCCGCTCTCTCTTCCTGATTTGAAACACCTCCTAGACTCCTTGCCGGAGCCTGTGCTCCTGCTGGGTGACTTCAATTGTCGTCATTCTCTTTGGGGTGACGTTCTGACGAATACCCGGGGTCGCCTCCTTGAGCCGTTTCTCCTCTCTTCTTCCCTGTCTCTTCTGAATTCTGGTGAGCCCACTCATTTGGACTCTCGGACTCGCACCCTTTCTTGTCTTGATCTTTCTCTCTGCTCTTCTTCTCTTTACTTAGATTTCACGTGGCAGGTTCTTGATGACCTCCATGGAAGTGATCATTTCCCCATCCTTGTTTCCTTTTTCTCTTTTCGCCCTTCCCTCTCTTTCCCTAGGTGGCAGTTTGCTAAGGCAGACTGGACCCTATTTACCCTCAGTGCTGCTCTCTCTGACCTCTCCCTTCTACCTCTCTCTCGCACTCTCCTCCTTTTTCATGACACTGTCTTCAACGCTGCCCTCCGCTCTATTCCTCGCTCTTCCTCTCGGGGTCCACGGAAGTGCGTTCCCTGGTGGAATGCGGACTGTGCTCGGGCTGTCCGCTGTAAGCGTGCAGCCTGGAAGAGGCACCGCCGTAGGCAGACGACCGATTCTTTTCTTTTCTTTCGGAAAGCGAGTGCGGTGGCCCGTAGGGCCATCCGTACGGCTACACGTGAATGTTGGGCATCTTATGTCTCAACGATTACGTCCGAAACCCCTTTGGCCCAGATCTGGAAGCGTATCCGCAAGATAGCGGGTAAGTTCGTTCCCGATGTTTCACCGGTCCTTCACCTCCATGATACTCTTGTGGCGGACCCGTTGCAGGTCGCTTCCGAACTGGGTTCCCACTTTTCTTCTGTTAGCTCTGGTCTTCATCTTCCCCAATCTTTCCTTCTTCGTAAACCTGTTCTTGAGTCTCGTCCTTTAGATTTCTGCACTCATCTTCAGCTTCCCTATAATGATCCCTTCTCTCTCTCTGAACTTCGTTCTGCCCTGGCCCTCTGCGGTTCTCCGGCGGCGGGCTCCGATGGTATTCATTATGAGATGCTTCGCCATCTCCCTCCGAGCACGTCTCAGTATTTACTGAGTCTGAATAATCGGATCTGGGTGTCGTCGTCAGTCCCTGAGGACTGGCTCGATGCCGTTGTCCTCCCTGTTCGCAAACCGGGGTCTCTGGGTACTTCCCCTAAGGACTTTCGCCCTATTGCCCTCACAAGTTGTGTCTGCAAACTCTTTGAACGTATGGTTAACGTTCGTCTGATGTGGTTCCTGGAACACCATCACCTCCTCTCCCCTTCTCAATTTGGTTTCCGCAAGTGCTGCAGCACGACAGATATCCTGGTGAACTTGGAGGTCTATATTCGTACTGCTTTTGCTGCGAAGACCTCCGTTGTTGCCGTTCTTTTTGACCTGGAAAAGGCTTACGACACCACTTGGCGTTATCACATTCTATCTCAACTTCATTCTTTTGGCCTTCGTGGTCATCTACCTCTCTTTCTCCGCAGCTTCCTCTCTCGTCGTTCCTTTCGGGTGCGCCTTGGTACCGCTCTCTCTCCCTCTTTTCAGCAATACGAAGGTGTGCCCCAGGGTAGTGTTCTGAGCACTACTCTTTTTCTGGTTGCCCTCAATGGTCTTCTTTCCTCTCTTCCTTCTGGTGTCTTCTCCGCTCTCTATGTCGATGATCTTACCCTTTGTTGTCAGGGTGATGATTCGCCTCTCCTTCAACGCCGGCTTCAACTTGCAATTGATGCCGTGTCGTCTTGGGCCACAGATCATGGCTTCAAGTTCTCTACTTCTAAGACTTGTGCCATGATTTTTACGCGGAAACGGGTTGTTCTTCGTCCCTCTTTGTCACTTTATGGTCATACCCTTGAATACAAAGATTCCGCGAAGCTTTTGGGGTTATTCCTTGACACTCGTTTGTCTTGGTCTCCCCATATCTCTTACCTCCGTGTTGAGTGCTCTAAGGCCCTTACCCTCCTTCGGGTCTTGTCCCATACTTCTTGGGGGGCAGATAGGCGCACTCTCCTTGCTTTACATTCCTCTCTCGTCCTGTCTAAGCTCGATTATGGTTGCCCTGCTTACTCGTCTGCTTCTCCTTCTACTCTTCGCCGTCTTGATGCTTTGCACCATACTGGGTTGCGCCTCAGTTCTGGTGCCTTTCGTTCGACTCCCATCCTTAGCTTGTATGTTGACACTGGCTTCCTGTCTCTCCAGGACCGCCGTGATCGCTACTGTCTTCGCTATCTTGTGCGGTCCTTGCAACATCCTTCCTCTCGCCTCTTTCGTGCTTTAACTTTTACCCCTCCTGCGGTTCCTGTTCCTCTTCACCACCTCCCTCTTTCTGTCCGGTTATCTCGCCTACAGGATTCTCTTTCCGTTCGTATTTCTGATGTTTCTCCTCGTGTTGTTCCTTCTTTGCCCCCGTGGAGGGTCCCTCTTCCGCGGTTTTGTACATCCTTGACCCGTATCACTAAAGCTTTTACCCCTCCTACGGTTCTAAAACGCCTTTTCCTCGAGCACTTCTCTTCTCACTCCCGCTCCGTTTCTGTCTTCACCGATGGGTCTAAGTCAGCAGACGGTGTTGGAAACTCTGTTGTTTTTCCTGATCGCACTTATATGTGTCGCTTGCCTCCGGAGACTAGCATCTTTACAGCGGAACTTTATGCTATTCTCTATGCTCTTCGTCTCCTGCTTTCTCGTTGTCAGTCTTCCTTTGTAGTTGTTGTTGACTCTCGTAGTGCCCTCATGGCTCTCGGGTCCTTTAATCCAGTTCATCCAGTAGTTGTCAAGATCCAGCATTGGCTGTTTCTTGTTCACAGTAAATTTAAGTCGGTTGAGTTTTGTTGGGTTCCCAGCCATATTGGTGTGTCTTTAAATGAGCGTGCGGATGCTGCCGCCAAGGAAGCTGTCCGCTCTTGTTCCATCTCTCGTAAAGGCATTCCGTATTCCGACTTTTACCCGGTTATCCATTCCTCAGTTCTTACCCGTTGGCAGGCTTCTTGGTTGTCTGTTACTGGTAACAAGCTACGTACTCTTAAATGTTGTGTACCCTCGTGGCCGTCCTCCTTCCACCGTAACCGGCGGTGGGAAACAGCTCTGGCGAGGTTGCGTATTGGCCATACTTGCTTAACCCATGGTCACTTGATGGAGCGCCGCCCTGCTCCTTATTGTCCTAGTTGCATTGTCCCTCTTACGGTCGTGCATGTCCTTCTTGAATGTCCTGACTTCCAGGACGAATGTGTGTCTTGCTTTCCGACCGCCCCTCGCGGTCACCTGTCCCTCGATAGAATTCTTGGTGACTCGGATACTTTTGATATCGTTCGCCTGATGCGTTTTTGTTCTCGTATTGGCATCCTTGGTGATATTTAGCGCCCTCTGATTATTTTGCGTATTTGATGGTGCTACATAGCCTTCCCGGTTTGGTGCCTTCTTTTGATAATTACTTACTTACTTTGTTCTGTAGTTAATTTATATATGAAGATGACAATGATTCAACAACTGTAAATTATGTTTAATCCTTATAGCATCAAAACACGATGTATTATTTGATAGGACAGGTCGCCCTCTCATCATCACACTACCTTCTGCCCACCCAACAAATAGTCACCCATACACTGCTCTCCTTAGCTCCCATACACAACTTACAATTACACAATTTAAGAGAAAAGTATGCATATAATATATAACTTCACCCATACAGGGATAAGTTTCCTGTCATGGCATTTTTGGTGGAGAGGACACCATATTCTGGATCAAGAGGAGTTTCTGTTGGCAGATTCTTTATGGTCCTCCATGATCCATTTGAGCAAGGTCGGGCTGTACAATATTAGTAGAACTAAATGGTGTACCATACTGCACTGCATTACACTAATAATACACATGGCATATTCCAAATAAAGTAGTGTTATTAAATACTTTTACTCAAGTCCTTTAATATTGTTACCATGTTAACGGGCAATACAATAAATGTAACCCTCCCCAGGCCTTCTGTATATGGGAGAGATTACAGGCATATAATTTTAAATAAAATGATTGTAAACTACTTATAGAAGTACAAATAATTTTCAAGCAAGTTTTGTATGTTTAAGGTTTTAATGAGTTCTCTGATGAAATGAGGGTAAAGTTATTCCTACAAATCCTATTGTAAAAAATATGAAAATATTGCTGAATGTAATGATGTACTCTTTCCAGAACAGCCTCAGTAGCTCCTTAGTGCATTAGATATGGCACCACAGACACCCATAATACTATCACGACTCTGGACTTGTGCAGGCCTACCGAACATCATGACCAGAACCTTGTGTGCTTATAGAGGTGAGAGGAGCATAGGGATTTAAGATTAACACCATAACTAAGTAAACCCGTTCAGAAAATACAGAAGCAAAACAAACAATATACACACTGGCAAAAGAAAAGATTGGGCAAACAATCTCTTCCCTTGTTTCAATGTTAACAAATCATGTGCTAGCATCCTAACCAGCTCACTCTGGTGCTTGGTCCCGGTCAAGAACTGTCTTTTATATGTCCTTACTCTGATAGTTCGCCACCTCATCTTTCCAAAATTAACTTATCGGCTAACCCTTCTCATATCCTCGATTATCTTTTCTGATGAGTTCAAAAGCCCTCATTTCTTTAGAGTTGCCCTGGTGTATGGGTAGTTCTTGGGACTTTGTCTTTAATTCAGAAATGTTGATAAAGTTCACTGTGTACTTGAGTCTGAGAATATCTGTGCATAGCTCTGCCTTGTTTCTGAGTGAACCCTGGTCATCTTTGGGATCCTGATTGGGTGGTGGGTAAGGATGCTTTTGATTTATTTCCATGGTGTCTTATGCCTTGCATCATTTCTATTTTTAACTGGGTTTAGGTGTGGCTTCACTACCTTTGGAATGTGTACCTCGGATAGTATGTTAGTGATTCATATGACCAGTTTCAGCTAGATCTCAGCGGCTTTTTTAATACATATTTTACTACGTGGGGATAACAATTGGTGCCCAGGTCTCTCCCTTCCCTTCTCCATATCTTAGCCCCTCACTCATCTCTTCCCCCCCCCTTCCCCCTTCTCTTGTTTCATCCTCAGGTGTGCAATATTTATCGCTGAAGGTCATTTGTGTTGGCTAAGCAACCCTCCAAGGTGGTGGTCTACTATCCATACACAAACTTTTCAGGAACCAACTTTTGCAGTTTTCAACTGTTGCCAGGGCTGTGGGAGGGAGCCTTCTCTCTTTTATGAAAAAATCTGAGGCCTGAGTAATACAAACGATTGTTAAATCTGGAAATTCTGCTGGTTCATCTTCTGGAATGGGTGTTTGGTTTAGTTGACTGGCTGCCCACTGGTTTTCAGCAGACCTGACAAATCCAGAGAACTAGTAGTTTTGTGGCCATTCTTGTGGTATTAGAGGCAATACACTAGGAAACTACAGAGTGCTAACCCAGAAAAATAAAGTGCTAAAGAAATCAACTCATACTCTACACAAAATGAATGACAGTATTGTCATGAATAACATCTTGTATATAAAAATAATATCCTTAATACTACAGGTACTTAAAATATAATCACAAATGTAGATTTAATTTGATGAAAATACCCCATATAAAAATTATATACAACAAAATCACCTTATTAATTATGTCTTATTGTATCAATGAGGAAATTTATAAACTAATTTGTTTTCTTAAAAGACTGGAATTTTTTCACGTGGTGTTTGAGCCAGGTCATCATCCAAAGTTAGCAGCAGCTGCAAAGGAATACGTATAATTCTTACATTAAATCTTTTTGATAACCAATTCTAAGTATGAATTTAAAATACACATCTGAAACTCCTACAATTTCTTTATTACATTAAGAACTTATTTCTCCATCTTATTTTAACTTACTGCATATGAGTCTAGAAAATATATTGTTTACAAACTTGCTGTTATACAGTATAATGTACCATTATATAGGTATATTTAATGAAAAAGGCCCTAAATTAATATTTCATTCTTATGTTACAATAAAATTAGTTTATAGTTTGCCCTTTGTTTTGGAGGGCAAGGAAGGGGGGGAGGGGGGGCACCTGCAGGTCATCTCAGGTGTCTGAAAAGAATGCCAGCTCCTGCCTGAGATCTTCAATTCTTGGTGGGGCCTTGTATATAGTGAGGGGGGCCTTCTTAGTACTTGGTACCTACTTCAAAGAGATTGTCGCTCAGCACAGGTGATTCTTTATGTATCCATTGCAGTTTAAGCTAGATTTCTTGGTTCTCCTTCCTGTGTGTGTTTCCAGGTGCTGGTAGGTTTCTTGGAATGCGCCTTTTGTAGATAGTTTCATTGTGGGTTTGGACTTGGCTGGGTCTCATCTGGGACTCCCAGTTGGCAGCCCTAAGCTGCTTGGCTTCTCGTACTGATCTGGAGTTAGAGTGCCCGAGTTCCTTGGTGGATGCTTGAGCGAGAGCTTAGACTATGCCTGTGTGGTTACCAAAGCACCAAACCCTGTGCAGGGTTTGGTGCTTTACCGATTCCTCTGGTTTCACTCCATTTACCATCACTGGGATCATCCAGTGTGGCTTCCATTTTCTCTGGCAACCTCTTCGGGGCTTTTGGGGGTTAGATCCTGTTGTGCCCCCACATTTTGTGCTGTGGCATGCTCTGCAGCTTGTTCATCTTACACTGAGTTCCATGATCTGGTTCCAGTGCTTTTTTTTTAATCATGGTAGGGGGTTGTTTCAGTCCCTTCCCTTGTGGGGGTTGGATTTTATGGTTTATTCTTTGCATTCCTGTGGTTTTGCTCATTACACAGTTCAAGTGCACTGTAATATTAAAAGTGCTTGTAGATGGTTTCTCTCACTTGCATACCATAGTCACAAGGGGGGGCAGTTGGTGATGCTTTTGGTTGCCCTTAGGTGGACTTCTTTGTGTCAGCATGAACTCGGTAACTTCTGGTTTACATGGCCCCATTCCCAGATTGTGAGACTCTTGTGGTCCCATCAACTGGAGTAGATGGGACTTATTGTATCTCTGCTCTCCAGTTAGGCTGCTACTACTTATGCTTTCCAGGCTGGAGATGTTTGCTGGCTCACCTTGCTTTAAGACTCTGTGATCATGGTATGAACTCCACAGATCTTTACATCTGAATACTCTAGCATACCACCATCAGTATGAATTTCAGGTGGTGGGTATTTATTGTCACATTTGTGACTTTCTTTTCGGTGGTAGTGTAAGGTTGCTTGGCATTCATTTCATCACTTTCTCTTTTTTGCTTGTCTTCTATAAATTCTATGTCTGTTACAGTAGTGTTATCTTCTTTATCATGTCATTCTTATCAGCAAAAGCTTTTGAAGGCTTTTGGCACTGACTTTTCGTTTGGCTTGTGAATGCTCCTTGAGAGCCTTCTTGGTCTCAAGATGGTGTTCTCTTCTTTCTCTCAGTGTCTTACTTCTATTTCCCCAATTAAAGAGGTAGAAAACTCCTATAGCAAAGAGGTCTATATCCTCAATTCACAAGGGACTTGGGGTTCAATCCAAGGCAGGACACAAACAGTTGTGCATGTTTCCTTTCTTCTGATGCAACTATTCACTAAGCAGTAAATAGATACCTGGAAGTTAGGCAACAGTAATGGATTGAATCCTGGGGAATGTCAGTAATTGGCCTAGGACGAACTCTGATAAGCACAAGTACAAGCTTCTTGTCCCTAACAATGGAAATTTTAAGTACCTTTTCATGCACAATGCTTACCAGTTTACAGAAACCTTAATAAAGCCTCTTCAGTTATCATAAAATAGTAGAATTTATTAGTACTTATACAATACCTACCATAAAACCAAAAAACATGGCTCCAGCTGATAAGAAGTGCCAAATGTCATGAGTGTCGTAGAAGTGAAGCAGCACACACTCTTGATTGTACTGGCGACTGTGTGCTGGTGTCAGTTCCCAGGTGGTGGTGTGTTGTGTGTAGAAATAAATGCCAGCACTCCACCCAAGCAGACACAAGACAAGATACACAAGTGGCTGAAGCAGCAACCGTTCACTGTGCCGTAACTGGAAGTGTTTTAAAACATTAGTGGCATATAGATATTTTTTTTGCAATGGAAGCAGACTCAATGTAAAACATTTTCCATCCATTTCCATCTCCATGCACTATAGAAAATATTGGATTGACTACTGTGGCACAGTAGGGTCATATCTGAAAGTTCCTGGGATCAATTTCCATGGCAGGGTAGAAATGTCTAGGCAATGTTTCATTTCACTTGATGCCTTTGTTCACCTAGCAGTAAATAAGTACCTGGAAAATTGGGGAATTTTTGTAGGTTGCATCCTGAAAAAGATGCAACCCACAACTCTCCTTAACCGAAGTGAGGAGAGAAAACAAAATCCAGTCAAGAGACCAGGATGTGTCTATAGGTGCATGAGCAGGCCGGAAGTGAAAAAATGCACAACTTGCAAAACAGCGCCATGGAGGTGTCGACATGGAAGGCAAGTAATAGCAGCTCTGCCACTGCTTGAATCAAAAAGAGGTGAAAGCATTTGGCATGAGATGCCAAACGGGAAACAACCACAACACAAAGGACAAGACAAACCTGACCGAGGACAAAGATGGTGAAGAGCAAAGTAGTGGCAAAATGAGTGCCAGACAATCTCATATTGCCGCCACAAGGAAAAACACAGGTGGGACACAAAAAACCAGCCACTGAACCTGCAGGGAATTTCAAGGGCCTGGAGTGGGGAAGATAGCTAAGAAGACACCCAGGCACTGGAATGCTATGCTGGAAATTTATTTTTGATATAAGTAAGCTGCCACAGCCTGGTGCCTGTGGCTGTGAAGGCCAACCTTGGTGTGCTAAAGTGGGTGTGGTGCTAAAGCACCTCACCCACAAAAGGTGTGCTAAAGTACATGAGTAACCAGTGTGACCCATCAGCCAAATGTCACTTCTGACTCTTGTAAGAACAGGAAAGTCACAAGACATCTGGCCCACCCTGGGCGAAGGTCACCACAAGCAAGGAGGACCTCTAAGGTAGTGACTCCTGAACACTCCAGGGAAGAAAAACCCCTGGCAATGCAAGGGCAGCACATATGGAAGATAAAGAGCACTTGGAGCTGCATGTGCACAGTGTTAACCCCTGGCTCATGCTACACAGTAGTGTACAGGAACTGCCAACAAGGGCAAAAACCACCACTTAGCCGAATAGCAAAACACTGGCACAAGAGAAGAAGATAGGCAGCCCTGCACACACTACATTAGCACAGAACTGAAAGTGGAGACGCTGGCTGACTATGAGCTGCTTCCTCTCTTTTCCCCAAAGACGTGGGAGAAGTGGATGGAAATGAGCTTGTGTTAGTTTCAAGAGAGTTTGATCATTTGTTTACATTGTTGGTGGAGTTCTTTTGGCAGTTCTTGAGGCTTTGGTCTGTATGAAGGCAACAGTGGTTTGTTTTGTTTCGCTGACTTTCTGGTTGCTTTCCCTGGTGGTGGCATAAATAAATACATAAATGACACAGTTTCCTGTGCTCCTGTGAGAGGGCCAGGTTCTAGTCCCAATAGACCAATAAAACTCTGCAGCAAATGCAACCTAGTAGTTTGTACACTATCAATAATAGTAGCTTCAGGGAGCATTCCACAGGAAAAATCAACATTTGACCGAGTGGGAAAACTTGAGGATTATAATGTCACTTGAAGCAAAGAGCATTAATATCAGTATTGAAAATGGTTAAAGATTAACCCATGCATAAAAATACTTTATTTTTCATGGTTCAAATTTAAAAACAGTGTTGAATGTAATGGAATTCCCCTTTCAACACAACAGCTCAGTAACTCCATAGTTAAGTGATACTTGGCTTGATTTGCACTTCTAATTATCACTTGCAGAGGATGATGAAGCTATTGATCCTCTTTTGTATTACTGAGAGCTAGTTGCTTGTGTTATTTAGACTTACTACTTCCTTTCCCTAATTATAATACAGGATACAGCCAAAAGAAAAGTACCTTGTTACAGTAAGGGACAAGATTGACACAAGCCAGCAAGTAATATAAGGCTTGTGTAAAACAAATAGTGATAATCTTCAAGGGTAATCTTTAATCTCTGTTATTCAGAGATTAAACTTCAATTAAACTATTAAACTTCAAAAGCAGGTAAAAGACCTTCAACTCACCTTCATTATTATATAAAATGCTATGTAAAGGAGAAGGTTGGTAAGGAATATAATGAGCAAGTAAGAGGCAAAATCCTTGGGTGTCGTCACTATCCCATAAATGGCCAAACACCAATTTGCTGCATTTCCCAACAGCAATAGCACCATTCGGTCACAATACATGGGACGACAAATCTGCCTCCAATCACTGAACTCACTTAAGCACCATGCTTTCATACGCATGAAAAGCCCCATATCTGCCAAAGAAAGAGAACAAATTTTAAATAAAAATTTATATAATGAAAAGAAGTTTCATAATTTTTCTGAACTATACCACTCAGTTACTAGCGATTCCCTCTGATCTCCATGAACATTATCTTGCTCAGTCATGGCAAGGTCAACATTCTGCTTGGGTGTAGCAGGGATCTTTTCATACTGTCCCTGCTGAGTCATACTGGTAATAGACACACTGGAGAATGCTTAACCCAGGATTTGGCTCTGTTATCCAGTAAATCACATCAGACCTTGACATTCTGTAGGCTGCCTGTTTGTACCTATCTGTTGACGATTTCAGGGATCAGTTTCCCCAAGGCCTGGTCTGAGACTGGGCTGTGGGAACAGCGATCCCCAAAATCAACAAGTAAGTAGGAACAGGTAGCCAACAGGATGTCAATGACTGATGTGACCAGACATTGAAACTATCTCAGCGACATGTAATGCATCTTTTAGAACTCTGGTAACCTTGCTTAGAGTCTGGAAATAATGTTTATTTTCTAAATATTTTCCTTGAAATTCATGGGCCAGCAAAATATGGCATGGTACATACCTAGTAATAATATTACTTAATATTTAATAATAACATGATTACTCTCCCATTAACTACTTTGAGATAATCAACTTACCAAGCTTCCATCTTCCCATGTAATAAATGTAACATGATAGGAGGAGGCAAGAGACCACATGTATCATACTAAATATGATCAGGAATAAAAGATTTCTTGAGAGGACGCCAATGACACCAAGGAGAACTGCCACAGCCAAGGTGACAAAGGTTGCACTAGCACTTGCATTAATATCAGGGTGACGTGTTTGATAGATTTTTAGCATGGAGAGCACTGACATCACATACATGAATGACGTATCTGTTGGGATGAAACAGTTTGTGAGAAAAGAAAGTATGTACAGTATTAGTAATGTTCAATAAAATGTAAACAATTTTGGCACAATTAGCTAGCAGACAGCTTAATACTAATAATAATTAAACAAACACGATTATGCTTTGAGTGTATGTTCAGAAGCTCAAAGTAGAACTTTACATCTACTGTACACCCCTTAGGTACAGTTATATCGTTTATACAGTATTTTATTCCAAACCAATTCATATATATCATCATATTAAATATACTGATTTCACTCTGAATCACTATTTCTATTTGCCCCCACCTCTTTTTCTACATATATTATAACAACTTCACCTTCCTGGAGGTTTCAGTATCAAGTCACCACTCTTACACACATTTCTTTTAACTGAGAGTTAAGTAAATCAACAGTACTGGAGAAAAGGGCAACTCACCAAACTGGTAGTTAGAGTTATTGGGACAAATGTGATAGCAGGCACTGAGTAGACCTTCCATGATGAGAGAACCACCCATGGCATAGAATATACCAAAATGCTGGGGAATGCCATAATACTGGAAAAAGAAAACAATGAAGAAATTATATAAATCAGAAACCATATAGTGTAGTCTCTTATTCTATTCCAGTACAATTTCAATTTAAAAGATTTAACTGCATGCATCTTTTCATTCCACCAAAATGCCATATGGGTTCCATCAATATACTGTATATTACCTCTGCATAATAAGATGATTTATCCACCACAATCATTAATATTTTTTTCACACAATAGTTTCCCTGTCTGTCAATATTTGTTGCAATACCCTTTTATTTGAAAAGCTTAACTAGTTTGCTCATCTTTTTTGTGGTCTTCTGCTCAACAAAATAATCTCCAGAACATTTAACATATATATTCTTCACCAGTTTTGCCTTTGGCACTTATTTATTGACAAATTATTCTACAAAACTTCCACATATTACGTATCCTTTTCACACCTGCATCGGGGGTCCCAGTAGTACAGTCTGGTTCGTTTTTGACTCGCAATCGAGAATTCCGTGTTTGAATCCCAGAAGGGGCAGAAATAGATGGGTTTCACTTAATGTCCCTGTCCACCTAGCAGTAAATAGGTACCCAGGAGTTACTGTAGCTTGTTGTGGGGTTGCATCCTGGGGAAGGTCAGTAGTTCAACCTTGTGGGGGACCTAGATGTAAGCATAACATATATATGTACACTGACTGCCTGTTCCCTGGCTAATAATAATTTTTTATTATTATTAATTTACTTAGGAATTACTCAAATCATTGATTATATTTCTTAATATTATTGAAGTCTTTGTAATTCTGAGCAGCCAATGAACATATATAACTTACATCTTTTAAATATAAAAACCTTCTTTAAACACTTGAGTCTTACCTTATCAATTTTATAATCAATCTGCGCAGCTCGAGTGTGACGATGATTTTGTCGAGCACACACAACAACAAATAGCACACCAAAAAGGATGTAGCCAATGTTTGAGAAGACATGGTTGAAGTCACTGAGTGGACCGAGTGGGTGGGCGCACCAGAAATTGTAGAAGCACAGATCTTGATTTCCTGTTTCGTGCAACACCTGAAGAAAAATGCAACATTTTGTTTTTAGGCTACCAATACCTTTTTGATTAATCACACATCCCATTTAGTTAAGCTTTTCAACATATTTTATTATCTCTCCAATCACAATGATTTTATGCAAACTTTCGTGCTCTTTTCAGAGCTATTAATTAACTTCTTTCCCACAAATCTACTACATTTTTACAATCCTATACTGGTACAGCTTTTTCTTTCGCATCCATTTCAAGGAAGACATACATTGCTCTAATTACTGTTGTCATGCACAAGCTCACTCAGATTACACTTAAGACCATCTGTGTGAACAACCATTCTTAGTAAACTTATTATTATAAGTGATGGAGAAAACAAACCTATAACTTACCCTTTGATATGTAATAACCAGTTGAATAACAGGAACACCATAAAAAACTCCAACAGTTAACAAGCCCCAGATGTAAAGCTGTGATTTCTTGGTCAAAACACGCATCTCCTTTCGGGCTAAGTCGCTCACATACAAGAAGGTCTTCGTCCTGCAATACAATTGGTTAGTTGCATTCTGAAACTGTCATGCTCATCTGGATGTTGGTTAAACCCAGAGTGAACTACCACCATGTCTTATAAGTGTATGCATCAACAGTGGCATGCTTTGTGCAGGCACCTACAAGTACCTGCAGAAATGGATAAGCTGATTCCTTCTATATGTGTGGAGAGCTCCAGTGCACTTGTTTGAAGACAGTAGTGGTTTGTTTGTTTCTCTGACTTTCTGGGTGCTTTCCTCAGTGGTGGCATAAATAAATAACTTAATACATAAATGCCATCACTTTCTGTGCCTCTGTGAGGGGGCCAGGTTCTAGCTCTGGTCCCCGGTGGGCCACTAGAACTCTGCAACTGATGGGATCTAGTAGTATGGCACACTATCAGAGATATTAGCTTTAGGGAACCATAAGGGGCTCCTCCCCTCCTCCCCAGAAATTCAAAATTTAGATAGGAAAATCTGCTGGCTGAAATGGGTCTGTTGTTTAGAGGAATCCATTTTAAGGAAGTTCAGATTTGGAAGGTGCCACTGTACTGTACATCTAAAGATTACATACACAGAGTAATAAAAAATAATTCTGGCTGATATTGAAGTCAAATGAAAGAATATATAAAAGTAAAGTGAACACCAAATTTGAAAGATGAATTTTAAAAACCCTTCTTGCAATATTAAAAGATACAGTACCTGTAATTTACTTTATATAGACACCCAAATTGGAAGATTTTTAATAATGTATAGAGTATGATTAGGACAACTACCAAAAGGTTTACCTGAAGATATCTTTATCACTCTCAGCATCAGTGAGCATATCAATATCATCTTCATCCAGGGAGGAGTCTGAGGCAGTGCGTGGTAGTGATGGGTTATCTGCAATATAACATTACTAAATTAAAACAAATCATAATAAATTGAAAACCCTTGAAAAAAGGAAGCCACATTGACAGTCAGGGTAAAATAATTTGTACAACAGCCTTGAAAAATGAGTCACACAGAATTATGCCACTCCCTGTATTGAGCTGCTATGGTTAACACAAAGAAGCAACTACTATGCATTCCTAAACTGGGGGTATGATAACCAAACCACATACCAGAAGATAAGGAGACGACGACGTTTTGGTCCGTCCTGGATCATTATCAAGTCGAACTTCGGTCTAGAATGAACCAAAACATCATCGTCTCCTCATCTTATGCTGTATGGTTTGGTCATCATATCTTCAGCCACATTGTGACTCATCGTCTGCTTAACCGAGGGTAGCCTGTGGCTGAAAAAAAATATTACAAATAAATACAGTACCTGGCTGTGTACAGTGCCAGGCGTCATCGTCTCCCCCATCATCAGCATTTTACAACTCATCTTGTCATGGCACTGTCATACCATTTAAACATATACAGTAGTATAGTTACAACAGTTAATCAAATAAACATAACAAAATGAAATACCATATGTTTGTGTTACTAGAGTAACTAGTGTTACAGAGTGATTCCCTTAGCCGAATCACTCTGTAACCTGGCCATTTTGGTGCTTCATTTTCTATGAACAATGCAGTTGTCTGTAAAGCTTTGCCGACTTTCTGGATGCTTTCCTGGTGGGGTGACAATAATTGTCCCCAGCTTTCTGTGCCTCTGTGAGGAGCCTCAGGCTCTCGCTCTGGTCTCCAGTAGGCCAAACAGGATTCCTGCGACTGGTGTGACCCAGTAGTGGGGAGCCATCTAAGCGAGATAGCTTCAGGGAGCCACCGGGTTCCACCTATTTTCCTGGCCTAACCTCTCTCAAGAGGGAATATCAGCCTAAAATTGCATAATACTACATTACAGGCCTTAGGGGTTTAAGTCTTGCTAAAAAACCTAGAACTAGAACGTTGGTTCTAGATGATCACATACAGATAATTTGAAATATATTTTTTTAAAGTTTTCCATGGAATGTTCTAAATTGCTAATGCTGTTCAGATTCAAATAAAATATTTATTATTATGTACAACACATACACATTTACATGAGCAACTGACCTGCACTAGTGTTGTTGGCACCATATGAGGGTGATGGATCTGAGAAATTTAGGTCCTCTGGTGTTCCAAGGATGGAATCATCCAACAGACTTCGCTCACGGGGCTGCTTCCGCTTTGACCTGCAATATAAATTCAGAGTTAAATGTAATGAAATGCCTCTGTAGCAGTTGTGTTAAGGTGTTAAGAGTAATATAGATGCTCCAAGTTCTCAGAAGTTCGATTGCAGGTAATTAAATGTTCCCCATTAATCCCACATAACTTATCCCTAAGAATTTCACATTCAAAAAAGTAATATGTTAAACACTTAATGGTTCTCAAATAATTCTATGAGAACTAATTACAATCAATACAAGTTCCCCAATGGTTCCAAGAATTATCTAGGAATGCAAAAAGTAACCACCGAGTTTCCCATCAGGCAAAATGATGATCAACTTGCCAGAAGCAATCTGTATCCAACACAAGGATACTAATTGGATTGGAAGTCTAATTCCAATAGTAGGTCAGTGACGAACGCTTTTAATACACCTCTTGGCTCTTTGAGTCTGGTCTTTCTGATGCTCCTGTATCACTATCTATATGGCGAGCAGTTGACTGAATTGATGGTGTCCCACCTGCATGTGTCTTCCCAAAATCAGTACAAAGTAGATTGGAGTTCTTTTCACCATTTCTTGAACCTTTCATACTCATTCTTCTGTCACTGTTCTTGTTGTCCTCTCGTTCCCTTCTCTTGGTTGTTTCTTAACCAGTATCTTATGCCTAATACTGTCCCCTCTTATTATTTGTCATTGGCAAAACCACACAGCTGCTTGCATTAAGTATCGATTTTACCTCTGCACCATTTCAGAAGCTGTCTAGCCTCTGTCAGACCCTCAGCCTGTTCATGCCCTGCCTGAGCTCTACTGGTCTCTGGACAATGTCCTCGCCCTTCTTTCTTCTCCTTGGTTTATGGTTTTCCCCTTCACTTCGGTTTTTCTAAAACGGTTTTCCTGGTGGTAATTGCCTCCAGTTGTAGAGTCAGTGAGCTTCATGCTCTTCTCTAGAGGCAGAGTTTTTGTCCTTTTGGCCCTAGTAGGCAGTTCATTTATAGTTGTCTCCTCCTTTTCTGGCCAAATGAGTTTCCAGAGGGGTCCTTTTGTTACTCATGCTTGGTTGATTTGGCCAGGGATTCATCATATGCTGTGCCCAGTAGCAGCTCCTCACAACTACTTAAATGCCGACAATTCCTGTCTCAGTGGACACTTTATGGGTTGATCCTACTTTCTTGGTTCCATGTTCTAAGGCTCATATTTCTCAAGTTGTCTACAGTGTCATTAAGTGCAGCCAGCCTCTCAAAATAACCTCAAGATAGCCTGTGGTCTACTCTCATGCCCATAATGTTTGTAAATGTGCTGCTCTCTCACCTGTCTTTGCTAACATGTCTTGGGCTGATATTAGGATGTTGGGATTTTGGCAGTTAAATAGGGTCTTATCAGCCTGGTATTTAGTTAAGGTTTCCGCGCCGCTTCATACCTGTGTTGCCTTGGGTTCTCTCTCTCTTGCCCGAGTGTTTCTTCTTCATCTTGAATTCTACAATTTCTCCTCCTTCCTGGCGTATCTCTGCCTTTCTTCTCTGTGGATAGTTAGCTTTAGGGAGACACAAGGGCTTCCCTAAAAATCCAGAGGTGAATGTAATGAAACAGCTCACTCTGGATGAACCCAGGTGACTTCCTGATTCCCTCCTCCTCATTCATGTTCATTGGTTGTGGGCGAGTGTCATCTTCACATCTGCTCCAGACCTGACTTGAAGGGCTGGGGAAGACCTTGAGCTTCAGGCCTCCCCCTCTACTGTTGGGAGGTTGGTGCTAATGAGCTGTGCCTCTGTGAGGGAAGCCAGGTTCTGGCTCTGGTCCAGGGTAGGCCAAACAGAACTCCGCTGCTGATGTTACCTAATAGTTGGGAGCCATCTTAGCGAGAGCTTCAGGAAATAATCAGGGCTTATCCAGAAAGAGGCGCTACATTACATTCAATGCTGGTTTTTTGGGTGAATTCTTTATTTAACAAAAATATGATATCTCATTTGGAATACATGTACAAATTATACTTACTGTAAACTAAGCTTTGCTGGTGTTGCAGTGTAACTCTTACCTGATATAAGAAATGCAAGCCAGGATTAATGTTACAATGTAAAACAATGCACAGTAACCAAGACCAGCAAAGATGGCAGCAAGATATTCCAACTGGGTGATCTTCTCCTCAATTTTGATTTCGCCTTTCTTCTTCCTACCTTGATACACATGTTGAAATGAGGAAGAGCAAGCTTCATCACTTGAGAGCATTACCACCACCACATACAGACCATTGGGATAATCTAGTTTCTGGGTGGAGGAAGAAAAAGTAATTGTCATTTTGTGGAGATATATTCTTGAAATACACACATTGTATTGTGAAAATACAATGTGAACAAAAATTCTTGCCTATTATATTCTTTTAATAAACAGAAAATATGACATTGAGTAATAATTAAATATACTTTTCTCAACAATGCTATTCAGTGTCCTCTGGATAAAGATCCTTGCAGTCAGGCAGATGATATTCAGGCTATCCCTACAGTGTGGCTAAAGGTAGTGGGGGTGCACTGGAAATAAGGACAATCCAGCTCAAAATGACCAACAGAGGTACATTCCATGAAAACATAAAAACCCAAAGCCACTTAAGAGCTCTTACTTGTGGTCATACATGACATCAAAACTAGCTCTCATTAATAAAAGCTCACTATCAGTAAAGAAACCTAGCATCCCTGATTGTCTCCAAATATTAGTACTGTAACCACAACAAGAGTCACTACACTCCCAGCTCCTCACATGCTTCCTAAATACACACAACATGCTACAAAAAGAAGGAAAGGGGAAAGAAAGACAGAAGGAAAGGAAAGAAAGACAGAAAGAAGGGGAGAGGCCAGGAGTAACCAAATGTTCTTCCTCATGCTCAGATAGATGCATTTCATATTTACTCAACAAGGCATTTTTTTTAGCAATCTGCATCTGACAGAGGAAAATGGGAGCATTGTGTCCAGAGATGCTCCATTGAGCATTTTAGCTAACCGTCACTTAACCACTCTCATCTCCGTGACCTGCCTTTACTCACCCATACCCTCCCTAACTTGACTTGTCTTTACACACACTTACCAGCTTCCACCCAACTCACAGTCCCCAGGCTGCGCGCCCGGATTTTAACCTATTTTAAAATTAGTGAATAATGGTCTGATTAAATTTTATACTGGATACTCTTTTGTGTGTCAACATATCTTGAACCATTTCTCACTGTTTATCACTCATTTTCTCCACCTTAGTTGAAGTCCGACTAGTTAAGCCACAAACAACAACGTTTACAATGCACTCTGTCAATAAGACTTTATGTAAGAGTATGTACACCACTATTTAATTTTTTTATGCAAAATGGGATCTCCAGGAGCACAACCATGTGCTCAACAAGTAGTCAATTTTATAAATATTTGTGAAGCAACTGTTGCCACTGTGAAGCAGTTGTGTATTGTTGTGAAGCAATAGTATACTGACCCTGACTGTAATCCCAGCTCGGGAAGTCATCGTTTGGTAAGAGTTGCCAAACTCAACATTCTCCTCACTGTCAAATACTGGACACTGTAAGTAAAATTATACAAATTCGTTAAATACATATGAAAATAATATACTGAGAAAGATATCAAATTAAAATTCATATATATTTATAGCATTAACCTTTTCACAGGAAGAAAAAAATGCTCACATATGAAGAAAACCAATAGTTCAGTGCAAAAAAACAGTGATGAATGTAATGAAATGTCAATTTCTGGGTGAGTCCCGGGGGCTCCCTGAAGCTGCTATGCTGATATAGTGCCAAATTACTAGGTACCTTCAGTCATGGAGTTCTTTTAGGTTTACTGGGGACTACGATCCAGAACCTGGCTCTCCTCTAGAGAGGTGCCAAACTGAAGGCAAACCCCGTGTGTCTTTTAGAGGTTTGGGCTAGTTTAGAGTGAATCTATATTGTTTCATTTGAATTGCTCATGGAGTTGTTTGGTGGCTTTGAGGCTTCTTTTCTGTGAACCCTCCAGTTGTCTGCAAAGCTTTGCTGACTTCCTGGATGCTTTTCCAGTGTGGCAATGAATTGTCACTCACACCCTCTGTGCCTCTGTGAGGGGGGAAGAAGGGCCAGGTTCTGGCTCCAATCCATTGTAAGCCAAACAAAACTCTCACGACAGATGTGACCAATTTGATTGAGCAATTTCAGAGAGATAGATTTAAGGAGATACCGGGGATACCGAGATACTAGTAAAACACGTTTCATTACATTCAACACTGATTTTTTTATGTGCACCAGGAAATTTAATAAATTTAGGATGTGCAGTTAGGGGGTTAAGTGGACCAGGTTTTGGCCTTTAGTTTATGACAGGATATATTCTGACTCGTAAGGCCCGGCATGACACGATATATGTAATAGTTATCCTGGCAGCGACAGGGAGCCAATGAGGGAGCCCTTACAGAAAGTATGCCTAATTTTTATCACAATTTCCATCTTCAGAACAGGGTTAATAGGACTGAAAATTCATCTGGTAATAAGCACTTACAGTAATATTCTGAATAGCCACCATAGCACAGAAGTCATCATCAGCAATGACCTTCACCAACACCATGTCTACATCTTTTGGGAACTTGAATTCATAAAATACAGGCTCAGCTGGTGTGACATTAAAAAACCTTTCACGGTCCAGTCTGAAATACAACAATAAAGGTAAGAATTTTGATTTCTTATATTTTGAATTTAAAAAAAAACAATGTTGAATGTAATGAAACGTCATTTTCTGGGTGAGCCCTGGTGGTTCACTGAAGTTGGGAGTCATCTCGGTGATATGACTCCCAACTTCAGCACTTCTGGATTGCATCAGCCATGGAGTTCTAATTGGCCTACTGGAAACCAGAGCGAAAACCATGCCCCCACTTCTCACAGAGGCACAGGAAGCAGGTGAAACTCTGCCACTTCACCAGGGAAGGAAACTAGAAAAATTGGTGAGCCAATACATACAACTATTGGCTTCAAAAAGACTGAAGCCTCAAAATCTGCAAAGCCAAACATCACAACAATGAAAATAAATAATCAAATCTCTCAAACATCACCCCACAACATATTACTGAAAATAGCTGCAAGAGCATCATACTTGCAAACATCATGGGCACGAGGGTAGACCGCATGGTGTTAGGCTTGATGCTGCAGACATCTGGAGAGACATAAGCCTTTGGAACAGGGGGACGAAGGAAATAGGATCAACCACACAGTATTCACCAAAGCATAATCGTTGGCACAAAGGTAGTGGCAAAGCAATGTCACCGGAATCCTCTGGCCTAACCAGCCCCCTTGGAAGCCCACCAACTTGTTTTTTGAAAGAAAATATGGAGATTATTGGATATGAACATAATCCCCACCAGGGCCAAATGAACGAAAACCACATTTCCAAAGAGTGCATGAAGCTCCCACACCATACAACCCAAGGCACACACCAACTAGAAAAATAGCTTTAGAAAAAGAATATTGGACTGAAGGGGACACAATAAACAGAGGAGAAAGAAAGGCTAGAATGCGATCCGTGGACCAAGCGGGCTCAAATGAAGCATGAATAGGCAAATGATGAAACAATGCATGAGAATGCTTACAAAATAGTACCATGGATGTATTAATTCCAAACGAAAGCGGCAGTGTACAGCATGAGATGCCAATCAAGAAACAACAATGAAGGGAACATCAACTGAATCTCTTGGGTGACTTGAACTCATGACTAGCAGACTGCCAGCCACAACCTCTACCGCTGGACCACCCTGACCTGGTGTAAGTTATGTAACCTGGGATTCTACTGAATCAACAGTTAGTCTGAAGCCTCTACTGAAGCCAGTCCAAGTTTTACGTATAACCCTCAGGCACCCGGGTGTGGGTACTGTATATGTAAAACTTGGACTGGCTTTACATTATTTGTCGAGCTACAGTACTTGGCTGTCTTTTAAACATTGCATGGTTCTTGTAAACCCAAAAGTTGCCTATAATGCTTCATTGACTTTCCGGGTGCTTTCCCAGTGGGGTAGTGGAATGTCACTCTGCGCCTCTATTAAGGTCTTTGCTCTGTACCTCAATTGACCAAGCAGAACTCCATGACTGATGGGACCTAGTAGACAGGAACTATCTCAGCAAGATAGCTCCAGAGAACCACAAGGGGCTACCCCAGAAAATTTATTTCAATGAAAATGATCATTTATTTCAATAAATGAAAAAATCCAAATCTATTTCATATTAAAATAAATCACTTAAACGTACTCAATAAAAAAATCATCTTTAAAATCAGCTCTAACAGTATAGCTTAGGTTTGATGGTGATGAGGTTGAAACATCGATGAAAAGTCGCTGGGTAGTGTCGAGACTTCCCTCATAAGACACCTTATAGTTCTTCACTGGACACAAGGTATGAGACACGGTGAAATATTCTTTTCTGTGGACAGAGAATGCCATTAGTACAGCAAGTGCTCTAAGTATACATATTGTTTTAGGCATTTAAGCTAGACAGGGTGGTATGCAAGTCTAGCTTTTATGTTTACTGTATTATTTTTAATTTTTTATATTTTTATTAAGGTCAGGTAATTATCCAGAGAAAGTGCTAAGCCATTATGATTATACAGCATTTGGAAAGAATATAAGGACAAGGATCTGAGACAAGACAGAGGGAAGGAGCGATGCTCAACCACTTTGATGTCGGAGAGTGAAAGCTGACCTGCAAGAAGCTAGGCTGTCATTGTATCGACACCAGTCCAAATGGTTAGGCCAAATTTTTATAATATGTTAGTTTATTTTATTTTTACTTTATGGCAGTGTTTTTCTTGTATAAATTGTAGGTGTTTACAACTATGTCAAATTGTGTATGGAAAGTATATATTAGGATAAACTTCTAGGCCGATATACCTATTAGCCGGGGATGTTGTGTATGGAAGAAATTTATTATTTTGGTGTAGTGTTCCCACGCTTAATAATTTGCTTTTGTTCCCATGCTTTCCTCTCCCATGAGAGGAAAGTAGCCTCTCTTTACACTCTGCAATCCACCACCCAAAGGAGAACAGCTTCTGGCTGAAGGAGGAGGAGGAGGTGTGTTTTGAGCTGCCCAGTGAGGTGCCAACCTCATTGTTGTGAGGATTTTACCTGTGTTTTGCTTTCCCTCACCACGTAGATCTATATTTTATTCAAAACTATGAGTCAATTATTATTTATTAATCCTACAGCTTTACCCATCTATTTTGTAATTTTCCCGTCGAACCTAATGTGTCAACCAGATAGGGATTCCTCAAGATTTCATTAAATATTTCTAGTGTTCTTCCAAATAATAAAGGATCGAAATTACGGGTTGTTACGGACCCGAGCCCAGCGTCCGAGCACGGAGCAGTGACGACCGCGCCATCTGTGGGTCAGCTCCCGAAACCCCCTCCAAATGGACGACGCCATCTAGTGAGGACGAGATATACTGGCCACAAGGGCTAGTTTCCCGTCCTGATCAGCTCATAACACAGCCGCTGCTGACCTCTGGTGAGGTGACGCTTAGACAGCAGCGCCATCTATGGAGTGGATAGGTGGGTGTTTGCGTCTAAGCCTGTAAGTGAGGTGCCCTAGTGTCCCCAACCCTAATGACGTGTCTGATTACAGAGTCAACCTGGGACTGCTGTAATGGAAGTTGGATCAGTCTACCCAAGGCAGCCGAAGACTCTCCACGTGTTTGCTGCAGCAGCTGTGAGTCACCCCCCGGATGAACACTGGTGTTAGCCTGCCTGTGACGTGGCAGTTGAGGAATTGTCGTACCCGGGACTGACTGGTGGAGAAGACTAACCACTGGGGTGTTGTGGTGAGGAGAGTGATCTGTGTAATCACACGAGGCTCCTGCCTAGGGCTCGCAACCCTAGTATCGGTCGTGGAGTGGCCTATGCAGCGTTGCTGATTGGAACCTGCCAGCTATAGGCTGGATTTGTGGTTGATGGCCTCCACGACGGTGCACCCAGTGGGACTGTGATTTGGCTGGCCTGTGGCCGGGGTAGACTCGCCGAGGGGATCAAAGGATTCATCATGAGGCCACAAGAGAACCAGGACCACTCGTCTTGAGCACCGTGAACGTCTTGCGTCTTCAGAGGAAGACAAGTGATTGGAAATCAGTGTAGTAATAGTAACAGCGTGGGACTGTTTATATATTTATTTATTGGTGGCGGTGAATATATATTAAGTTTTAGTTAATTTGTATCCCTTCTCCTTTAATTTACTTGCGTTACGGAACACACCTCTCGAAAGCCATTACTAGCTTGGGGCCGGATACCCAAACTCTATTTACATCAGAGAAAGAACCCGGTTGCGACCCAATAGGGCCGTAACACGGGTCTATAGAGTCCAGACCACATACTGCTTATGGTCTGCAGTAGGCTTTTATGACTCACAAGGATCTAATGTGACATGGTATGTGAGGAGCTAACCAGGCAGCTAGCTCCAGAGGGACATTGAGGGGAGCTCTACCAGAATAGAAAAACGTTTACAACTTCTTAATGAATAAGATGCTTAAGGGATCTAAATAACTTACAAAATTTGTGTGCTGGCTGGAGGTTCTAAGGGGATCTGCCATGACAGTACTCCTCGTTGTTGCCGTACTACTACTAACAAAGGATACGTATAACCGCTCAATGGGCTGCTTACAGTCACACGTACAGCACTACTCTGAAAAATAAATGCCAAGGCGCTTCACTTGTTTTAATAAACAAAGTACAGTATATATGTGAAAATGAAGGGATCATATGGGAGAGGCAGATGACCAGAATTTTGGAAGGGAACAGTGGAATAATTTATGAAAGAAAGAGTGGGAAGCACTCAGTTGCGAGGAAATCAGTGGGGTCATATATATTGAATATATTTACTGTTGATGTGTACAAAGTCTGCTTGAAATATGTGTTTGTGGAGGGGTCAGAAAGAAGACTTCAAGACTCATCTTGAAAAACAAAAATTAATAAACGAGTCACAACATGGTTTTACAAATGGCCGTTCATGTTTAACAAATTTGCAAATCTTTTTATTCCAGCATAGTTGAGGCAGATGATAGTGGTAAGGTTTGCGATGTTGTGTACCTTGACTTTAGCAAAGCTTTTGATTTAGTGCCACATGAAAGACTGATTAAAAAGATGATATGTATGTATACACAAATGTATCCATCTTTGCTGACACCTATATCCACCTCATTGCTGATCATCCAGGTGGTGTGACCACAGAGACATTGGAAAGAATTTCTTCAGTCGGATATACAGTATATAATTCTTTGTGTAGGACAGACAGCCAGAGTGTATTTATACACTTTAGGCTTATATCAAGGTCCCCCCCACCAAGGTCAAATCACTGACCCCCCCCCACCCAGGATGCAACCCCACAACAAGCTGATTAACTCCTGGGTACCTGCTTACTGCTAGGTGAACAGAGGCATTAGGTTATAGGAAATGCCTCCAACCATTTCTGTCCCGCCTGAGAATCAACCCCAGAATTTTTTTTATTGTGAATCGAGAGCAAACCCAAGTTTACTAACAGGACCCTACTTATCTTAATGATAGGTCTATAACATAAATTAAAGCAGCTTACCTTCAATTCTGTTGCATTATATATGAACTCAAACAAGTATTCAGAAGTTTTGTTAATATCCTCCTTTATGTCTTCTCCAAACTTTCCTTCGATCACAACAGAATGAATTATCTCTTCCAAACTACTGCTGCCATTCACTTTATTTACATGCAATTCAATTGAACGCTCACGATGAGAACTCTTCTTCAGGATTGAAGTGTTATGCTTCTTACCATTTTGTTCAACATAATCATTTTCATTGTAGCTGTGAAGAGTAAGCATGTTACCATCTAAATCCTGCTCTGCCTGGTTATAAGTTGCAGCGTGCTGACCCCTGGGCTGAGTAACAAAATCCAGAGACTTGAGACCGTGCCGATATTGTTCATTTTGTGTGGTGCTCTGGTGGTGGGGCAGGTATCTTGAGTCTTGTGGGTAGTCTTGGTGAGGTCTGAAGTTGTGTTGTTGATGAGGCTTGGAGATGTGGGATTGGTGTAGCTCAGGCTCGTCTGGTTGGCGTGACTTGGGAATATGTAATTGGCGTGGTTCGAGGTTTGGTGACTGGCGTGGCTCAGGGTAATGTGGTTGGCGAGGCTCAGGGTGTAGATCAGCCAGTACCACAATGGATAACGTCCAGATGGCCACCACAACACCCAACATTACTTCCCATCTTCCAACCCTCCCTGCTCCTCCACGCATCATATCTTCTTCCTCTGCAATACATATATAATTATAAATGTTCCTCTGCTACACTAACACCGTCCACCAGAATAGGCTATCCATTTCCACCCTGATGTAGGGAATCTGGCTACAGGAGCCTCTTGCGTCCTACTGAAGATGTGCGTATCTCACCATTGGAGATACAAACTTTATCTCGCGTACAGTTTGTTGTGATGATCACATTAGTTTATTTCAAGACTTTTATATAATTTAAGAATTATATACAGCCCTCTATTTTTGATTATCAGGCCATTTTATCGTAATAGGAATTGTTATATATCAATAAAGAAAGAAATTGAAAATCAAGCAGACATAATATTAAGATGCGAGAAAGTCCAAAAACTGTGTTAGATATAAACAGGATATATCAATATCAGCTGTTCTTTGTTTACTGACAATTCTACACTCATTAATGAGCGCATCATCAAAATCAAAATAAAATAAAATCAAACTAATTTTTTTTATTCAGGTAATTTTATTCAGGTACATACATAGAAGATGAGTTACAAACATAATGTTGGATTTATAGATAGAGCTGGTACATACAATACCTAAAGCCACTAATATGCACAGCATTTCGGGTAAATAAAAAATACGGCCTGCCCTCATCAACAAAGGCCAAATGATCGTTAATCCACAAGCCAAACCCCTGTTTATGAATTAAAACTCTTTTCACATGACTCGCCTACCTGTCCTCAGGCTAGGTTCATCTAAATGGCGGACGAATCCAAATATTCGACCCCAGTGGGAAACAGACCCAACTATAGGATGGGTTAACCCAAGTATCGCGCTTCCAAAAGGGTCGCCCAAGTTGGAAAAGACGAACGCTGAAAGAATATTGTTGAAAACATCTTGATAACTGATTAAACCAAAATTATTTATTAGTCAGAAGAAAGACAGAAACGCGATCTATATGTAAAACCTCTACCAGACAAATATTTTAAGTAAAACCGGAGATACATAAACATGTCATAGCTCTTTATACTCTTGCTTTCTGGCTTTTGTGTGTCAGTGACTGCTCTTCTGTCTTCCCTAATTTCCTAAAATATTGCGGCTTTGACAGAAGAGATTGGAATGCCCATATCCCACTCAACTTCAGGCTTATCACATTCAGTTTTAGCTGCCTTGTTTGTGTCATCATGCTGGACAACACCTATATGAGAAGGTATCCATACAAATGAGACTTTGAAACTCCTACTGTTTGCAATAATAATGTTGTTTATAATGGAAGTTACAACTACAACCTTTTGAAGATCAATTGTAATTTTATCTAGATAATGTAATAAACGAAAGTTTTCTATGTCAACAGAAAGGCAGAAATATAAGCTACACTTTAAATACTTGTCATAAATATAACTGAAGTGAAAGCGAAGATATATGCATTTGATACTGTACAGTTTCTTGATGGCTTGCTCTAAGAGTGTGCAGCCCTTCACACCAGCCTATAAATTGTGTAATTTATTTCCATATATGCTAATTGAGGGACTTGAAGTAGAGGGGGGTAGAAATAGCCTAAGCTACTCTATCCCTTTGAGATGTATTTATTGCTTATCTCAATAAACATACTTGAACTTGAACTTGAAGTCGCTCCACAACATTGACACCTGGACCGTTGACTTCCTATGAGGCCACATATTTACTTATTTCATAATGGAAGTATATTATTTTATAGTAAATATATGTTTTCTCGTGTTCTGCATTAAGCACCAACATTATAGTGAATAAATATACCATATTTCTTCATTATTTAAGTAATGCTAGGAGGCTTTGAGTAGCTTTGGGTCATTAGGTGAACAGAATCTCCAATAGATGGGGCGAGAGTCGTTCTATCTCTCGCCCGAGCGAGAGTCGAAACTTATTTTAGATTTGATATATCTTTGTCCTCCAACAAGATATATTTCCTTTGGTGCACTCATAATAACGAGCATATCTCTGTCTTTCTGAAGGCATATAATATTTTAGGCTTTATAAGCGTATCTTTGTTAATTACACACTATATTGGCTAGTGCGTAGGCTTCTGCATTCCATGACCGACAAGCTACTGAATGCCACTATAAAAACGTATGTATCTTCACTTGAGCTTTATATATGTCTATGTTAAAGTATTTAAATTGAAGCTTATATGTCTATCTTTCTCGAGACATATAAAACATATGTGTTTATTAACGAATTTACGTGAAATAAGCATTGTTCTGAGAGAGAGTTGCTCTGCCGATCAGTCTGTGCGGGGTCGGAGCTCGGCGATTATTAAAACACATGTATCTTCATGAGAACTTTATATATATCTATGGTAAAGTATTTAAAATGAAGCTTATATTTCTATCTTTCTCAACACATATAAAAACATTTGCGTTTATTAACGAATTTACGTGAAATAAGCATTGTTCTGAGAGAGAGTTACTCCGTTGCTCGATCTGTGCGGGATCGGAGCTCGCCGATTAGAAAAATACACGTATCTTCGCTTTAAATACAAATATGCCCATGGTAAGCCTTTTAAAATGAAGATTATGTTTCTATCTTTCTTGAGACGTATAAAAATCTTACGTTTATTAACGATTCTGCGTGAAATAAGCATTGTTCTGAGATGAATATTGCGGATTTCCGGCTCTACGACCGATGAAAAATGCAACTTTTATACAACTACAAATATCTTTAGTTTTAATTTAAATTTTGTCCTGAAAGAGTTTTCATATATAGATCCAGTTTCTGCCGTTCTTCTGACATAAAAAGACCTTTGGTTTAATAAGTTATTAAGATGTTTTCAACAATATTACTAGGGCGTTCACCGATTCTAACATGGGCGACCCTTTTGGAAACGCAACACATGGGTTGACCTGATTGATATATGGGTCAGATTCCATTAAGGTTCGGAACATTTCCATTCTTTTCAGAGTTAACTCCACACTTGTACTACAGCGTTAAATTTGGTATCTTTGAGATCGCAATAAAATTCCATACACGGGCATATGCATATAAATGAAGAATGATGATCGCGACTCGCCCGCAAGAGTGTGGGAAGTGGGCGAAGTGATATCTGTTACCGCACATCGGCGATCTACAATAGTTTTACCACGAAGACAATGCCGTTCTCCTAAATAGGCTATGTGGCTACTAAAGAAAACGTAAATTTGATGACAAACATGTTCATACTATCCCCAAGTCGATCGGATAAGAATTGAATTTTATAAATATTTGTTCGTAGGACATAAAAATGTCCACTTCGGCAACTTCAAGTGACCCCCGGCGGACACGCTCTTGTGTCCACGGCTCAGGAAAGTGTAATAACAAGCTGTTCGTTTCATGAAGCTCACAAATATCTGCATACATAGCTTACAGACTGGACATCCGGCCCAAGGCAACCACAAGGATCAAACTAGTCCCAAATCAGAGGTATGACTTACGGGAAAAGGCTAAGGGAACTAAACGACACGTCCCTGGAGGACAGCGAGTTATGAAGGTGATCATGTCTAAATTGACGGTGGACAAAACCTATTTAGCAGGGGGAGGGAAAGGTGGAAGCAGTGCCCAAATGAGGAAACTATCAAGGGAATAACGTAAAGCCATTTCAACTATATAGCTCTTGGAAGGGGTCAGGATAAAGATTTGGGATGGACGGGGGGTGGGGAGTAGAAATGGTGCCCAACCACTTTGAGAACTTCGACCTGCATGACGAGCAACATTTTAAAGGTATTTCAGTGATGTTAGTTGAAAGATGGAAGATATTAGGCAGTGATGTCGAGGCAGACTACACAGTTTAAAATGTATATATATGCAGTCTGTGGTGTAGTGGCAAGACGCTCGCATAGCGTTTCGCGACCCTTTGTCCCCTGGGTTCGTATCCTGGCCGAGAAGGATACGCAAGTAATTATCAAAAGAAGGCACCAAACCGGGAAGGCTATGTAGCACCATCAAATGCGCAGAATCATCAGAGGGCGCTGAATATCACCAAGGATGCCAATACGAGAACAAAAACGCGTAAGGCGAACGATATAAAAAATCGTACCAATATCTTGGTACCGAGGCACCAAGAATTCTATTGAGCTACAGTTAAGGAATTGCGCCCAGTAAATCCTCCCCGGCCAGGATACGAACCCATGACATAGCGCTCGCGGAACGCCAGGCGAGTGTCTTACCACTACACCACGGAGACTGTCATTCTATTGAGGGACAGGTGACCAGCATCTATTTAAGCCAACAGTGAAAGTGAAATGGGTACCTGGTTGTTAAACGATTTGGCTGGGTCGTATTCTGGGGAACATAGGATTAAGGACTTGGCCGAAACGCTACGAACGCTAGTGGCTGTACAAGTAAGAATTTATTTATATATAACGAATAGGCTAGGGAATATGTACATCAGTCGATTGACAGTTTAGAGGCGGGACTAGAGCGCCAAAGCTCAACCTCTGCAGGAACAACTAGGCGAGTACACAATTCCCAATGGTAATCGGGACACCCAGAGAATAGGTCCCGTGGAACGCTCGCGCACTTGGCCATCTGTACACAACTACAAGCAAGTATTTAACCAGGCCAGTTCAATCTAATTACGGTAACTCTGCAACCTCTGTTTGCCTATTAGTGGAGCTAATGGGTGGTTTTATACACCTTTTTTTTTGGCAAGTTTATAAGACAGTCCACACTATAGTAGGGATGTCCCACCTAGGGAGTAGAGACTTCGTACTATCAAGTCTTGCCAAGAGTGCTTGTCACCCAATGTCAAGCTTTAATGTTACTAAATTAAAGATACGAGGAAGGTGTTGTATGGAGATAGGAAGGGCAAATTAGTCTAGTCTGGAACTAGATTCTGAGAGTCTATGAACACCTCCAAATTATATCTGATCATCCGGGTTGTGGGTTCTGGATCGCAGAATCGTCTAACAGCTTCGGCAGAGACCACCCGCGAGAACATTGTGCCAAGCAGTACAAATCGCGTTTAACTCCATGTAACCTACCCAACCCCCAAATGTCAACCCATGTCTTACTATTTTAAACAATGCTGTTTGTTGACCAAATTGTATATTTCCTATTTTCTGCCATGTTTCCCCCCCCTTTTTATATATTTTTTTAACACAATTTATACTTTAAAATCCATTAGTATTAAGTTTTAGTCTAAGTGTTTTTCCTGCCTGAAACGCTTTGCGTAATAGTGACTTTAGGCTTTGT